ACATAACTATTTACACATACATTATTAGGAGAAATGCCTTAAAGATAAAAAACAAAAATGAAAATGTTAATTCCCCATTTGAATTTCTTTGTATGAGTATAAGTTGTTAAATTTAATTTTATTTTAACAAAATCCCCGTCAATTTTTGGACAGATCCTTAAATTGGCTGGTAATCAATTTAAGGATAATTGTAGTAAAATGTCTGTAAATCGGTAATTTTTTTTTTCGATATTGGAAACTAATAATTTATTTTATCTATAATGAACTATGCAAAATTTTATTTGAGTTTTTCAGGTATTTTCCTGTCTGTTTATTAATATTAGGCCTACACCTTTATTCAGTACGGTAGATAAATTCAATAATTGAATTATTCAACATTTATTAAGCCAACAAAATACTGTGGACAAGGAACAGAAAAAAAGCCAATGGCTTGTCTGTGCTGTCCCTAAAAACTACACATACAAATAGGGTCTATGTAATAAAGCATAATAAAACTAATTAGGTGAATTACATTCATTGAATCATTAATCGTACTGTGAAATAATTAGATTTTTATATTTACATTTAAAGTTAACCACAGAACCCGATTAAGAGCAAAATATTTGGCTACAATAACAATAAGCATACATTTGTATGTTGTCATAAGAGAAGAAAAGCAAATAAAAAAAAAACATAGAAAGAAGAAGTAGGCCTATAACAATTATCCAGAATTTAACCAAATCGGAAGATGGATATATTAAAGTTTAAATCATCGTAAATTTCTAAGCCAGCAACTACTCCGCAAATCCTCCACCACAGGAAAGATAACTTAAACTATATACAGATGTCACGCTCACTAAGTTAGTAAGGAGCTTTCAAATGCACGACGACGACGGTAGGACGTATAACGTAATGACGTCACTAAAAGTAATCTGCGCATGCGAGAACGTTAAGGTCACCTCGTCGAGCAGATTCTGGAACCCAATTTGGCCAAATCTACGTATGCAGAGAACGTAGGACGCCAGGTAGGACGGTCACACATGAGTGATTCTGTTCTAGCGTCGCGTCGACGCACCATAGTGAATTGACTATGGTCGCACAAATCGAAAGCTGCCTATTAAGAAAAGTTACCGGTACTCTCTAATTCTCTTCTGGAAAATTGTCAAACAGGCCTACTCACTTCATCTTCCGGCTTCGTAACTGGAGTGGCTTTAGGATTAGCCTATTTATGACATGAGAATCGTGTGAACGCAATGTTTTTTTTAAATTTTTATATGCTTTCAGATTCTGCAATCAAGGTCCAGAGAGCTATTAAATAGATACAACTGTTTATTGTGGATTTCTTGCAGGAAGTGACATCAATAATATGGTTTCAACGTTTTTAATATCCCTTCTGTTTTCCGTTGTTTTTGGAAATCCATTTATCCAAATTCCTCAGCAAGCATCTGGTTAGTGATGTACTTACGTATAGTTGTATTAGTTGTGCTTCCTTTGAGATGATGCCTATAATACCAATCACAAGCAGACACACATACAAAACTCTGTCTACACAAAAAAAAACAAAAAAAAAAACCTGTTGTATGCCTATATAGGCCCAGTCATAATGTGCCTGTATTATGGTCATGATGTACTGTCAACATATTTAGGCATGTCACATGTTTTTGTCAAATAAAATGTGACAGTCTGGACAGGGCTTCATTTTTTAAAATTAATAATTTTTTTTTATATTATCAATTAATGTTTAATAATAATAATAATAATAGGCCCTAATTAAACATTATTAATTCATAATTTCATATTATTATCATATATTATACTATCTATGATCATGATAAACAAGTCTTTCAACAATTGAAAACCAACAAGTTTCCTTTATGATTAATAGATAAACATCTTTATCAATTGATTTTTTACCATCAGAACCTAAATACCGTCTCGTCTGCTACCATACAAACTGGTCACAGTATCGGCCTGGAATTGGTCATTTTCAGCCGGAAGACATCGATCCTTCGCTCTGCACTCACCTTATCTACTCTTTCGCCAAGTGCGAGGACAACAAACTGAAAAGCTTTGAATGGAATGACGAATCCACAGACTGGTCCAAAGGAAACTTCGAAAAGTTCAACGATCTTAAGCTCAAGAATCCAAACCTGAAGACGTTGCTGGCCGTTGGAGGTTGGAACCATGCATCGACGGGTTTCACCACCATGGTTGCGTCAAAATCTTCGCGAAGCACTTTCATATCACAGACGATCCAGTACCTGAGAAAGTGGAAATTTGATGGATTAGATCTGGACTGGGAGTATCCAGCCGCCAGAGGTGGCGTGCCAGAAGACAAAGAACGATTCACTGCATTAGTTCGGGTATGAATCCAATTTATTTGGTTTATTATTATACTTACTTTTGTAGTGATCATTGTTCTTGTTATTTTGGTATTATGATACGTATGATAAAAGCTGCATTACCAGCTTGTTAATATGTCATTTCCACCCTGAGTCATACCTTCAATTCGTCAAGGAAGAACCAACAACATTACGAGTTTCCAGAATATTCAGTATCTGAGAATCAACACCTCTTTCTATGTACGCAATACCTTCCGGAACAGATTACCGACATCAGCTGTGGTCACAGCCACAACAGTTTCCACAATTTCTGATCTTTGGCACTGCCGCCAGTACTAAGAAAAATGCTTCCCTCAAGAACCCATCAAGACCTGTAACTGCTATAGCACTGTCTTGTACTCTTACCTTTCTATTTTATCAATTACAGTGCACCCTCCAATTCGAGACCACTCTAATAGACCTTTCCGGAGTGTCAATCAAACTTAACAACTGACTAATCAGAACAGCGCTAGGAATACGCGCGCGTCTTACAAACACACGTGTTGTCCCACAAACGCACGTGTTCGCGTATGTTTTAACACTGCCGTCTTGTGAGACCTTAGCAACAATATCCAAGGGGCGGAGCTTAGCGGAAAGGTCCATTCAAGACCGCTTTTTCAAAGAACCAACACATTCTTCAATCGTCTAACACAAAGTAAACGCGCACAAAGGTGGTCTCGCATTGGAGGGCGAACTGTATATAATATACTGTAATTTATATGCGAGCACAATCAACGCACCCCAGCGCGAAATCTTCAAGGACAAGCAAGCCATATTTTGTGAAGGGCCGTTAGGCCAATACGGTCTAAAGCTGAAGACTTAAGATTTAAAATAATCAAATTCCTCGAGTTTAATGAGGTCCAGATCGAAGAGCTTTATCAAATTTTATTATTTACTTATTATTGCTAATAATGTATTAATAATATACAAAATAAGTAGGCCTTATTTGAATACTGATATGTATTAGCTAAAACTGCACAGGTATACACAGTCTTTAAAACATCAACCCAATTCCTTCGTCAATCTGTTCTTTTTAAATCTCAAATCTTCGTGAGTACGTAGTACTTCGCGCTCCAATTCGAGACTACCTTTGGGACCTGGAAATTTTGGGTGGTCTCTGGTTTGGTCTCCAATTAGAGGGTTAGCTTTGTCTTAAAGATTGAAGATTGTTATTTGGTTCTTCGACAAAGTGGTCCCGAATTAGAGGGGTCTCGAATTAGAGGATGTACTGTATTACAAATTGTCTTTAATATCTGATAGACAATTAGTTACCTCTGTTATTTAAACGTATGACATTGCTCTTTTCAGGAATTTATATCAGCTTTTCACATGGAAGTCAAAGGCACCAACAAAGAGCGTCTTCTCCTTACAGCCGCAGTGGCAGCAGGAGAAAACAACATAGTAAATGGCTATGAAATCGGATTGCTGTCTGTGTAAGATTTAAATTTTAATTATCAACATGTTTGATTGACAGACGGATTGAACGAGAACAAAAATCAGTTGGGTAAAACTATGTTCTGCCACAAGTCATTGTCAACCTCCAAATATTATATTTCCCGTATACCCTACTCTGGATAATACCTAAAACCTCCCCTGGGATTCTTTTTTTTTTTTTGGTGAACTCCGGATGGGCTTCTTTTCGATGCTATTTTTAAAAAAGTAAACATGGGGGCTTCTTTTTTAAAATGAATGCTGTAAATTTTGGGAATTACTACTATGAAACAATAAATAGGGCCACTGTAACATCGATCTGTATCACGGGTGGATTAACCGGTATTAAATCACGTAAACTACTTTATAAACCAAGAGTGTTTTTAATTTATGTTGTTGTTTTGAAATTCATGTACAGTGTATGTACGTACTATCTCGAAAAAAGCCCATGCTATCTTGAAAAGAAGCTCATGAGGTGGGCTTCTTTTCGAGGCTACTTTTGCAAACTTAAATGGAGGGCTTCACATAGTCACCAACCTGAGAGATTTGAAATGCGTGACTACACCAGTTAGGGATTGGGAAGGGGCGGGGGCCAGCAGGCCCCCAGAGTCCAGGGGCGGAACCCCGGTGGGACCGTCCCGCACGATGCGAGACGGTCGGTAACTATGCCTTTAATTCGAAATGGGCTTCCTCTCGAGATTAAACCCATTGGGCTTCTATTCGAGGTTTTACGGTGGGTCAAACGGAATTTTTTGTTGAAACTTCCCCCTACAACGTGAAGGAACAGTAGAACCTAAACAAATTCTTCTCTATATAGGCGAGACTTTTTTATACTTATAATATTTTTTATACTTAAATATTATTTATAATAATAAAATGTTATTGTTGAATGTAAAAATTGAATGTTGAGTGTAGTAATGGGATGCTTTAAATTTATATAATAAAGAAATATACATATCCTATTTTTGGAGATTTCAAGAGAGCGGCAGGTGTAATAACAATACAGAAAAACTTTTTAATTTTGTCTGAAACTTCCATTTTGCGTGGTGTCGAGTGAACTAAGGTGCCAAAATTTTTAATTTTTATTCGAAATCGTCACAAGGTGTAAAAAAGTATCGCCTTATTCATTTATAATCGTTTCTAGAACCATTATTGCGCAAATAATATCTTATTGTACTTTTATTTTTAAACAGGTATTTTGATTTTATTAATGTAATGACCTACGACCTACATGGAAGTTGGGATCCTGTGACCGGCATGCACAGTGCACTTCATAAGCATCCGTCTGAGAAAGGAGGACCTGATGCTAAACTTAACCAGGTAAGCTCACTGGAGTAACAGAAAGTCATGGGCCCCTGGCTTAGGCTTCTTCGGACCCTATGGTTGGGCTAGAGAGATTGTTGTCTAGCCTGCTTCATCATATATTAGGCCTATTTTTAAAAAAATATTTGATGTGGTACTGTATTTATAATTAATAAAAATCCCGTCTCATCTTGCATCATTTCTCAGGCCAGTGCAATAAAAATGTGGCTTGATGGTGGTGCCCCAGCAAGTAAGTTAAATCTTGGCATTCCTACTTACGGACGCTCATTTACACTCACTAACCCATCGGAGAATGGTATAGGAGCACCATCTACGGGGCCAGGGGATGCTGGGCAGTTTACTCGAGAGAAGGGTTTCTTAGCCTACTATGAGGTAGATATAATTATATTTCATTTATCATCTTCTCTTTTATCAACAACACATCGTCATTATCATCTAAATAATAATCATCATCCTCCCCATCGTAATCGTTATTATCACTATGAAAATCATAACCGACATCATAATTTTCGTCATCATCATCCTCATCATTATTATCATCATCACTAATATTATAAACATCATCATCATCATCATAATTTTCAACATCTTCTTTATCATTATCCTAATTATCATCAACATCTTGATTATCATCATCAACATCTTGATTATCATCATCAGTATCATCTTCATTATTATTATCATTATCTATTATCATCATCATCATCTTAAAATAATATTTTTTTATTATTATCATGATCAAAATCATCATCATTTTCATTATCACTCTTTACATCATAATCATTATTAACATCATCTTTATTACAGTATTACCATTTTCATATTTAAATAAATTTCTATATTTTTCTTCTTCCTCCTCCTCTACACCATCCTTTTAGCTTATTCCCATTTCAATTACTTTTTAAATTAATCACAACATGAATTTTTCTTACTGTAATAGGTGTGCCAAAAAATCCACGCAGGAGGAACTAAAGTTTGGAATCCTATTCGTAAGGTACCATATGCCTACTGGGGCAACCAGTGGGTTGGTTATGATGACTCCACCAGTATCGCACTAAAGGTCAGTGGAGATAACTTTTGAACATTTTTGTAAAACTCAATTTATTTAAGCTTTAGCTAACGACTGAGACTGAAGACAATGGCGGATTTGAAGAGGTGGTAGGGGGAAGCCGACCCTCCACCATCTCTCCTGAATTTTTGAAGAAAAAAAGAACATTATATTCAAATTTAAGTTTGACAGTGCCATTTTCGGCCACCTGGAATTGCCATAATAATATATTTTCTTACCTCAGCCCCAACCATGGTGGGCCTGAAGGTAGTGTAGACCAATATATTTACCAAAGTCTCTCCCTGGGCCCCCTATATCGAATTCCTTCCATCACATATCAAATTTACAAAATAATAATAATGGCAATAAGTTTATTAACAATAGTTTATTAACAATTATTATTATTATATCATATCATATCACTGCCATAGACACGGTCATTATCATTCATCATCACTATCATTAGCATTATCATTATATTTACTATTACTACAGTATTACTATTAGTATTATTATTATTACTATTGTTATTATTATTATCATTATTATTATTGCTATTATTATTATTATTATTATTATCATCGTTAATAATATCAGGTTGATTGGATGAAAGACAAAGGCATTGGTGGTGCATTAGTATGGGCGCTAGATCTTGATGACTTCAATGGAAACTGCCCGTCTGGTGAGAAATGGCCTCTTATCAAGACAATCAAATCCCAAATGGAAACGAGTAAGTGCCTTGTTTAAATGTTTGCCGTATGTCTGACAATAATTCAGTAGTTGGTGCTACTTCTTAACTTTAAAGTGGTTTAGTTCTTTTAAAGGCCAACTCAGACAGCGTCGGCTGACGCAGCCCGACCCGATTTATCGTCGGGGACAGTCTTTAGCCGTCGTGAGAAATATTAAACATGTTTAATATTCTACTACGTGACTGCCCCCGACGCACACCATCGCGTCTGCGTTTAACTCACACAGACCCGACGCGACAACAAATCGCGTCGGGCTGCGTCGTACGACGCTGTTTGAGTTGGCCTTAAGCCGGCCGGCCACTCACTTCACCCGATGGTCGTCGGCCGATGCGATTCTAATGAGAACGATAGTTTTTAATGACTATCCGTTGAGGCTGCACCGGCAATCAGCAGACGGCGTCGCGTCGTCGAGCCCTCACAGGGAGCGGAATTGGATTTGTCGTCCAGCGGGCGTACGATACAGTGAGCGCCCGGTTTAACGACACAGGCTCACCATGGTCCGAAATTTGGACCGCGCTAAACAAAACGTCCCTATTCTTTATGTATATCCCATTTCTGATCGGTTCCAATGGACCTTTCCGCTAAGCTCCGCCCCTTGGATATTGTTGCTTAGGTCCCACAAAGACAGCAGTGGTAAAACATACGCGAACACGCGAACACGTGCGTTTGTGGGACAACACGTGTGTTTGTAAGACGCGTGCGTATTCCTAGCTCTGTTCTGATTAGTCAGTTGTTAAGTTTGATTGACACTCTGGAAAGGTCTATTCTCTTCAGTCGTGAGAAAAAGTGCTGCTGCCACAGGAATTGAACCCAGGACCCTTGACTATGTATTATAAGCTTGCGTTATAGTCCAGCTTAAAAAAAAAAAAAACTATTATTATGCAATATTTTTCTGCCACAGATACACGTGCAATAAATCCTCCTGGAAATGAAGATGGAGTATCTGCGACGACGCAAACGATGGAAACAACAGAATTTAGTTGCCATGGAAAACCTAACGCATTCTATCCTAATCCTACAGACTGCTTCTCTTACATTGTCTGCATTAGTGACGTCAGACACGATGTCACCTGCCTGAATGGCAATCATTGGAACTCAGCTTACAACCGCTGCGATCCACCAGAAGTAGCAAATTGTGCTGTGATGCCTGTGACAACTACTCTACCTCCTACAACAACGGACAGGGTTACAGATCCATCAGCTTGCAAAGAAATCCACTCTGGTGTTGCATCACATCCGTCGGACTGCTCGCAGTACTTGTTCTGTTATCAGGAAGAGGTTATCGCCACGCGATATTGTCAATCGGGTACTCTTTTTGATCCAACGAGAGGTTTCTGTAACGTTGCTAGCCAGGTCACTTGTGAGAATCAAGAAACAACCGAGGCTTCCACCACTAGCAAATCTCCTACTAGGTGCCGTGACACAATGTCCGGCGCAGAATCGCATGACACAGACTGTTCTAAATATTACATCTGCTATCAGTATGCTATCGTTGCCACGCAAAACTGCCCAGACGGCACTCTATTCGATACTCGGTGGAAGTTCTGCAACCAAGCTAGTAAGGTGACGTGTGGAGGTGTTTTCAAGACGACGGAGGCTTCGACCGAGTCAGTGCAGTCTGTTTGTGAGGGTGTAATGACAGGAGGACGAGTTGCACATCCAAGTGATTGTTCCAAATACTTAGTTTGCAGTGATGGCGCCATTGCAAGTACGCATGTCTGCCCTCCTGACATGCTCTTCAGTCCTGATCTGCTGTATTGCAATTGGCCAAGCCTTGTCACATGCCAGGAAAGCCGAACCATTAGGACATCGTTACCACCTACCACAGCAACGCCATCGCAAGAAGCAACAGAAACCCAGCATGTGATCTTAGAAGACTTCTGCTTGTCGCAACCAAACGGATACTACTCGCATCCAAATGATTGTAATGGATACATCCGATGCGTTGGCAGCAGGACCTATATTAAACAGTGTCCAAATAACTTGCATTGGAATCAAAATGCCATGGCCTGTGATTGGCCCCAAAATGCAATTTGCTCGTCCCAGTTTGCTGCGCAAGTAAGCCAACAAAACGGCGCAGATATTAGTCCAACTGAGTTCACTTGCTCGGGACGAGCAGACGGTCACTATCCCGACGCAAATAACAACAAGAAGTGGTTTTGGTGCGTCCACGGCCAACTTCATCACATGGAGTGTCCGAGTCAACTGATTTGGGATAGTGAGCTTCAAGTATGCAATTGGCCGTGAAAGTTTTAAACTATATAATATGCCTTCTAGAAGGCATTAGTCATCTGAAAACCAGACTAAAATTCTATAGCTTCTTGATAATTAAATATGAATTATTAAACCTCTTTTAATGTGTTGTACTAGCTAGGCTACCTCTCGTCACGTACACTGTAAAAACAGCGTGGAGCATTTAAACACAACGCCCTCGTTTTTGGCGACACGTTTAAAAGCTACATCAAGATCCTAAATACATTAAGCTATATCTAAACACGTTTAGCTTTTAAACCAAAGACGGTACAACATTGCATGGAGCTTTGTGTTTAAATCCGCCACGCTGTTTTTACAGTGTACCGCGACAACTGTTTGCAGGACCAACGTAGCAGCTAAGCATTTACATAAGAAGAATAATGAGATAATACAGTAGAACCCCCTACTTTGGGACATCCCTATTCAGCGGACACACGTAAATTAATAAGAAGACACTTTTCCGAGAAACAATGGGAAATATCTTTTAACACTATAATCAACCCCATCAAAGAGACATCCATTAAGGGACGGGGCCACTTTCTCTGAATATGCAAAATGGTCTAATCAATACATTTCAACTCTTATTAAGGGGACAATTAGTATGTTTATTGTACCGAAACAACTCAGTAGTTCCAAAATAAGGGGAAAAATGTATTCAAATTTATATTGTTAACATTTCTTGAGCAATAAACTTAAAATCAACCCAGACTTTTTTCCTTAATTTTAAAAGACATTGGTATAGCCCCTATTAAGGGGATACTTTTATTGGTGTTTTGTTTGCGTCTAGCGCTTTAAGTAATCACACCTAAACCCAAACTGACTTTGTAAACTAATCTATATTTTCACGTTTTAAAACTTCCATCCATCGTATAACCTGATGTAATACTCTCCTACAATGATTTTAGGCGTATGTAACATACCGTGCTTTGCGGTCAATACCAGGATGGACAGCTCGCATGATGCGTCCCTTCTTTAAATATGTGTACGTGTTGAAATTGTTCACACACAGCTGGTCTTGTGTGGTCACATTACTTAAACCAAAAAATAAATATTGTAGTTTAATTTTGTAAAATAACGACATATGAAGATTGATTTTTCATAATTAAATAGTATATATATTTGAACGTATTTTTCGTGTGCTTTCATGTCATTCAATTATTTATTTAATTGTTTATCTTATTTAATAAATTGTATTTTGGTACATATATAATTGTCATTTGACAATTGATGCCAAAGTTCATGGGAAGGTCGTTATAATTACAATATAATTATCGCCACCTAACCAGTGTCCCATCAACACCACCACAATCACTACCAGTACCTCCGTTATCGCTTTATTTTTCACTGCTGCCACAAAGTGCGTCACTAATACCACCTTACTACCACCAATACCTTTATCACCAGAACTACGACCACCACAGTCATATAGGCCTATTATTATTATTAATATTATTTTCAATTTTTTCTGTCAGGCCAATGTCATTAGGCTTATGGTGTCAAAATACAATGCACTATAAATCGCTTCATTATCATCATATCATTATCGTCGTCATCATCATGTGCAATCTTCGATGAAAAGTCTGAAAAAAAATATACGTATGTACGGTAGTGAGTATATTGTTTCAATTTGTCCGTCGGTGATAAAGACACTACGCATCTTTAACCTGCGGTGATGGCTATTTCCTATCATTTCGACTCTATTTCTACCCCTCCTGTTATACGGTACTACTCCACACTTTTGGAGTCCTAGGAGGTCGGCTTTACCCACAGAACTAGAAGCCCTGCTCTCTTGAATGCAGGAGATTTAAATAAGTACGTTTTAATGAGAAACACAAAAATGCTTAGCAAGGATATTAGAAAATTCACACATTGATTGGTCGGAAAATCAGAACAATATTATTCATTAATTTTTACAAATACATAAACATTGTACCGGTATATATTTTTAATATTTGATGTTATTTTGCCGTAAGGATAACAATTCTCAGAATGTCTGACTACCCCGTGCTTCGGCTTGTGACCCCCCGCACTTGGATTTTCTCCCTGGATCTGACCATAGGTGCAGTCTTCTAAAAGTACTTGAAATTCTCCCACACAAGCTAATTAAGTAGACTCGGTGTTGAACTCAGTTTTGAGATAATCAGAAGTTGGGTAATGACGATTACCATGAAATGATGATAACGACGATGATGATGATGATGATGATGACGATGATGATTTCTTAACCGTCTTAACTTTTAACCCCTCCGTACTCTAGTGGTTTCTATGCCCTCATGCATATGTGCTAATATCACCTTAAAAGTAAATCTATAATTAATCCACACTCACACAATGGTGCTTTTAAATTAGCAATTTCTATAGAAGATAAACCTTCCGACCCGTCCGCTGATAACGCTCAGTGGCGAATTAAATTGATGATTCTTAAATGTTATAAATCTGAAAAGATTGTAACCTTTTCGTCTGCAGTTGGCTCAATATGAATTACACAGGAGCCAGTGAGCTTCCATGACAGTCTAGGCTCGGACATGACACGTTGTTGTTTGTTATTTCGCGACGTCATCAACAAGTACAATACATTCATTATCCACCATCAACTAAACTGCCTTAAAGAAAACAAAAATTGGTTCGTGTGGGAATGGAACACACGACCTTCAAAAAAAAAAAATTTTTAATAAAAAAAAAAATTAAAAAAAAAAAAATTGACCAATCATGTTACGCGATTGAATGCGCTGTACTCGTTGATAACGTCGCGAATTGCGAAGTAACAACAAACAACAACCTTTTCACGCCCTCCGCGGCTATCATGGATAATCCTTGCTCCTGTTTGTTGTGACACTTGGTGGCGCTTTTCCCGAAAGAGCATTTTAAAGTGTGTGAGTGTTTGGTTTTGGTCGTCTGTTGATTCTAAAAAATGGAAAGAGATGCTGATTTTCTTGGTCGTTACAGGAGTATTTCTGGAAAACTTAAAAGGTTTTATAATCCGTTGACATTTTTTTTATGTTTAGTGTTTATCTGGATAGTCATTAATTAAGTTCGTTATAGGCCTAGGACTAGGTAGACCGTGTAGGCCTAGGCCTACGTACTCCAGGTCCCCCTAGGCTAGCTAGGCCCAGGGCCTAGGCTAGGCGGACGGCTAGGCTAGGGAGGGCCTGGCTAGAAGCGAGGCTTCACTGTCACGGGTCGCTGGGCCTGCAACCCAGGCTAAACAACAAGACCCTACGCATGATCTATACTGGCCTAGACCAAGCTAGCTACTGGTCCTAGCCTACAGTTGAATAGGCCAGCTAGTAGAGCTATCCTCTAGGCTAGTTAGGCCGAAGACCCTATGTTATTACTAGGCTAGGCCCTATGTCTGTTCCCTATCGCAAAATTTTTAACAGCACATTTGTTTGTATCTGCTTACTTCCAGGCGATTTCTTCGTAAACCAAATGTTGCTGAGGCCATCGGACAATTTAGTAAGTGTGTTTCAATTTTCATATTCTAAACCTCATCCTTTTCACTGTGTAGACACAAATTTAAGTAATTAGGCAGTCCAGGAGTGTAATAAGAGAAAGCTATATAGTGTTTATTAAATGCTAGGCCTATATTTAAATTGACCAACTTTCATTACTATTTGGACAAATGCAGTTGCCTATTACACTATAGACTTCTCAAGTTCTACAAACGTCCGTAGTTGCTACGGAAATTTCGCCTAATTATGGACTTTTACGGAAATAAACAAAGACACTACGGAAATTTATCTGTAGTCTAGACCCAGAGGTTTACAGGTTGTTGAATGTTCAAGACAATGATTTTTTCATCAGGACCGTTGGCTACATCTTCCCTACAGACCCCAGACTACTGATAAATTATTGTAAAACCCAAGAAAAGTGAATGTATGTTGTTTTCCTCCCTATATTAGGTAGGGATGCCCAAAAAAGTGCGTGGCTGCCCATCGGCTCAGTGCCACGCCCACTGGCTTCCGTTTTGGACAGCCTATTTCGTGTTTCTGGTTAAATCCTTCCTGACGCTGGCCAGGTTAGGGGTCTTCAGCACAAGAAGCAGGAACAGAACATCTCACTGAACTACTCACTACTGTAAATTTGTTGTGTTGACATAATGTAGTTTTTCAAGAAGTGATAGTGCGCTCTCTATTGCCACTGCCATTGCTGGGGACCTTCTTGGGGTCAAAGTTGAATTTGATTTGTTTTGTCAAGTACTGTATGTCATGGTACACTGGTGCAAAGTATTTACAGTATAGTACATTATGATGACAAAACAAATTTCAGTATACCACAAATGGGGTAAAGGTAGAAGAATAAGGTAACCCATAACTTGCAGCATCATTGTGCTGAATTGCATATGGGTGTGGTCCGTGACTACCTAGCAGCCGTAAAGAGGCGCTTCATGTTAGCTACATGTTCACATCATTCCACAATGACAGAGGCCAAAATGAACCTAACATTGGGGTAACCCCCTACTTCTCCGAAAGATGCAATGAATTCTTTAAAGTGCACACAAGCAAGATGTATATACACTGGACCTCCATTTTAAGTCCTTATCTAAGAAGGCTTGGTTCTACCAACCAAACTTTGTCTATGAGCGGCTGGAACCAGCGCTGATGTTAAGGCTGTAGCTAGCAGTGCCCCTGCCTTACAACTCGGCCACTTGACTCACCCATTATTTACATTTTACATTTGTAGCAGATGATGCATAAAGCCTTATCCAGACTAACACATTTTATTTGACAAAACATGTGACATGCCTAAATATGGTCATGATGACATCACATCATAATCATTATCATATGGAGAATAATCACTGAAAATTGGATCGGCCTATACATGTAAACTTAGTTTAATCTTGGAACAATAATCTAATATGTGTCTACTTTTTTCCTTGTTTATTACTGGGTTATTTTAGATGCTTTGAGTAAGGTTTTAGAAGTGCAAGAATGCTCTCAGTATGCTGGACTATGCTGCTTAGCCATGGCAAGGTGAGTTCAATTCTTTTTTTCTTTTTTTGCACAACCCCTATACATGTAAACAAGCATATAACTACAGTACCATGTTTTTAGCCCCATTCTGCTGTATAGCTCATCCAATGATTTGCCCATATGATATGACATCATGGATTATGTCAAATGACTTCACACTCATAATTATGTACTTATTTTCAACCATTTCATTAAATTTTTATTCTGAATTGCTCATAATATGATACGACATCATCATGGATTATGTCAAATGACTTCACATTCATACTTATGTACTTACAGTATTTTCAGCCTTTTATTGAATTTTAACTCTGAATTTGCAATGTACAGTACATTCTATGAATTGTGACATGATTTTTGTATGTTTCTCAATGTAATGTATTTTTTTTGATGTATTTTTGTTATATATTTTATATATATATTAGTGGATTCTGAAATTATTTTGAATTAGACTGTTTTTACATTAAATGAACTTTTGAAATGTTTTTTTAAACAATTTTATTGTATACTTCTTTATCATTGATGTAATTTTGATGATTTCTTGATATTTTAATTTAATTGTATACAACAGTTGTTTAATGCATTTTTTTGTGCAATCTTTTTTATGAAACTTTTATTGTGCTCTGAGTTTTTTTTTATTATGTATATATTTTTTTTTATTTTGAGGTTGAAATCATTTCTAATTGGACTGGGAATGTTACATTGAATAAACTTTTCAAATGTTCTTTTTTTTCACAAATTTATTGTAAGATAGTATAATACATACTCCAAGTATTGAAATTCACGCCATTGTGTTGGGATATCATGCATTAGTATTATACTATCTTATCTGAGATTAATCAGTGGAACTTTCGTTTTTTATACTTCTTTATTTTTTATTTAATTTTAATGATTTCTTGATATTTTGGTGTATTGTATGAAACATTTGTTTAATGCGATTTTGTTCAATCTATTTTATGAAATTTTTATTGCGCTTTCATGTTTATTTTGTTCCAACATTGTTGAATTTGTAATTTTAATTCTAAATTTGCTGTGGATATTTTCTGAAATTTTACATGATTTTTGTATATTTCTTGATTTTTTATGTGTAATTTTGATGTATATGTTTCTTTATACATTTTTGTGTAATTTTTTTTTTATGAAACTGAATTTTTGGACATATTGTGAACATCATATGACATGTTTTTAACAGATTTTTTTGTATAGGCCCCTACAGTACCCCTTGATTACTGATATGTAATTTTGATGTATTTTTGATATTTTAAATTGTATATATATATATATACTATATTGCTATCTTATTTTATGAAACATTTATTTGCTTTGAAATATATATTTTTATATTGATTGTTTTTGCTACTGTATTATTGTAATTCAAACTCTGAATTTATTTTGGACATTCTATGAACTGTTGCCATGTTTATTTTAACATATACTCAAACTTCTCAGGTTTTTTTGTATATTTTCCCACATTTGATTACTAATAAGTATTTTTTATGTATCCTTGATATATTAAATTGTATATGTTACTATCTTTTTGATATGTTCTTTGATGTATATTTTGTTTGTTGTGTTTTCAACCATTTTGCAATGATTGTATTATTCCAAAACTGAATTTTTTTTGAACATTTTATGAAATTTGGACATGTTTATTGTAACAAATATTTGAAATTTTCTTTTTTTGATATGTAATTTTGATGTATTTTTGATATTTTATTTGTATATATATACTGTATAGATTCTTATATTCACACCAATTATAAAAATGTGCACTGTAATTCAGTTGAAATGTTTAGGCCATTGGTAACCGAGTGGATTTCTACAGTGCAGGGAACACACAGTGGTTACCGTTGGCTGAGCTAAGCTGCTTGCATAGCAGAAGTAGTTATAATTTTGTCCCTATCTATTCTTAACTTAAAACCAAAGGAATAAATGTTTTCTATCTTCTGGTATCACAGGTGTGAGCACACCTTAGCTAATGCACCTGGTGAATCGAGTGCTCTAATAGACGCTGCACAGCATTTCCTCGAGGCGGAAAATATCGACCAAAGTACTAGTTGTCCAAATTTTGAAGAACATTTGTCAGCAGCAGTGAATTGCTATGGTCATGCTGTCAAGGTAAGGTCAAATGCCAAATTTAATACACAAACAAATGGTCAAGCGATAGTAAAAAAATTCATTTATTTGCTTAGATATAAAAAGTATTAAATTATACAGGTACTGTAAAAAGTAAAACACATATAAAGGAAATTCATTGTTACAATGACAGTGGTACAAAAAATTTTTTTACTTACTAAAACATAAATTGTGGGGTGTGATTTTCTGTGCTAGAGGTTACTAATTATTTCTAGTTTTTCTGACATTTGACAGTAGACTGAGAGACAACTCCTGCTTAAAAAAAAACAACAATGTACTGCCTTCTTTAACAATTACACTAACATGGGCCATATCATATACCATATATGTGAGAAACATTTTATTCATTAATTTTTCCGCCATCTTTTCTTTGTACTTTTCCCTCTCTCATAACAAATTTCAGTATGTATGATTTCAATATTCTTTTTTCTTTCAAATTAAGTACAGTAACAGATTGAAAACCATTAATCTAACAGGGTACACTTTAATGTCAATCCGCATATGACACATGATGATTCATCTATATATGGACATGACAATGTCATACCATACCCATATATGGGCAAATCACAGAAATTTGTCACATTAAAATCTTAGTATGGTTGTAGCTTTAATCGTTGTAAATTTGTCTTGCCTGTAGGTTCACCTGGAACAGAAGCAACCTGCTCTAGCTGCATCATTATGTCTGAGACTAGCCAATAGCCTGAAGGTATAATTTTAATTTTGATTGACATAATTATATACACATCAGCATTTATAAAACAGGTGGCAGCACTGGGATGGGCCTGGTGGATTTTATTGGGTGGGCCAACCATCCTGTAGTAGGCGCACTAGTGATTTGGCCAAATAATATTGATTATATTGAGTATTGATTTTGACAAAACAACAGTCTGATGGATCACAAGTTGCTTTTCCTAGTCTGTCCACAATAGGGGCTGTTTTAACCAGTACACCGCAGTAACTCCTATTCATCTAAAAAAAATATACTGGTCTCATTACGCACAAGAGACAATTGTGTACATTGGGCATAATGTTTATAGTTCTTATGCAAGCAGACTTGTTCCACTTTGTGAACCATAGACAAGCATGCTGCCCAAGCCAATGCTGATATTATGGCTATAGGCTCTGGCGGCCCCCCTCCCTGCCTTTATCGCTCAGTCATTTTACTTGCCTAATAGTGAAAATGCTACTAGAGGGATAGTGTATAATGCACTACATAAGACTGATTGATGAGTTTTTTTTTTTGCATGATTCTATTTTTTTGCATGATTCTATTTTTCATTTCTATTTGAAGGGGTTAAACAAGGCTGGAGAAGCATCGCTGCATTACCAGCGAGCAGCTCACCTACAGTATCAGGTAGCGTGTATGTTATCTCTGTTAGAAAATTGACAGTACATACATGCAGTACATACAAACGTAACTTTACAGAAAGATTTCTCCACTTTTCATTTCATTTCATTTATTTGGTCCAAAGAACATTAAAACTGACAAACACAAAATAACAGAGAGGAAAAAACAACACTCAATTGACCGGACAGGGTTTGCCAAAAAGTGAACCAAATCACTGTCTAGTGGCTCTCTGATGCCAATGAGAACATACATTAAATTAAAAGTAAAAATACCATTAAAGTATATATAAAAATATATATATATAAATACTGTATATATATGTACAAAATCATCAATGAAATCAGTCGAAGTTAATAAGATAAAAACATTAAAAATACAATAAAAATTGAAACACATGAATTGCAGCGTAAAACTTATGTTAAAATGTTCAATTTACAAGGATAAAATGCGAGATACAAAATATTAGAGTTTTTGCTTAGCATAGTCCACACATACCAAACCTACCATACGTAATTGTTTTCAGAGCTTCATATTGTAGTTAAGAGTGGCATACATGCTTATGCAGAAACATTCATCTCTGCACAGTACCATACATGCCTTCACTACATCATGCATGTTTTACACATCATCTCTGTGTTCATCTTTCTGTTTTTTGTTCTCGTTTTGTCATGTTTGGATTTTTTTTTATAGAGCCCATTGGACTGTCTTCATTCTCTAAATCAAGTAGCAGCCTGCAAGATTGAATTGTGTAAGTTTTACTGAAGATTTATCCACACTGTCAGATTTCATGTGACTGACATATACTTGAGTTTCCCAATGTATGATGTAATGGGACATCATCTTGACCATATATGTGTGTAATATGACATTAGTCACATTCAGACAGCCTTCTGTCTGAAGTCAAGTTACAACGGGCTTAAAAATTTGTGCGTATGTTACTTTTTGTGTGGTCATTAATTTTGATATAAATTCATAAACATTCAGTCAAACCCTTCTGTTCAGCCTACATCTATTTATGAGTTTTTATTAAATTTTTTTACTGTAGTCTTTTGTTTTAACAGGCGATTATGATGCAGCTTTGACTGTGCTGACTGAGATGGAGTACCTTGCCCGGGAGAGGATGACTGTTGGGCTCGGTGGCCGCCCGGTCGGTGCTTTCATGGACATATTAGGCAACTGTGAGATAAGTAGGGTACTGCTGCTTATGCTTCTTAAGGTAGGTTTAATTTCTGTAAATACAGTCGAACTCGCCTAAGTCGAATGTGCCTAAGTCGAAATTGATCTCTTTTCCATTAATTGTAAGTCAAAATCTTGACGTAAAACTTTAATCATTTTAAGCTGTCGCTGCTTTACCAGCATCGCTGTGAAAGTCAACAAGTGACTCATACATTTGGCAATGCAGAAATTCACACGCTAAGTAAGCCTGACAAGTGACTCCTGTTTACATTGCATAGTGGTACTTTGTGTAGTTTATTTACATGCGACTCAAATCACAATCCTCACTATTGTTGAGACATGTGGTAAAGCCGATAAGTGACTAATGTTTAAGCACTGTTTCAGGTTTTGTTAGTTCTTTTTTAAATACAGTAAATTGAATTGTAAGGTATGTACAGTAATTGTAAAATAAATGTCTTATGGAATTTAGGTATAGGGAATACATTTTGGATTTTCCAACTGAATTTATCGTATTTAAAACATGTTTGCTTGATGGCCATGCAAAAATCAGTTACTAAATGTTAGTTTATCAAATATAAATATGATTAAACTTTCATTTAAGTATTGACTGATTCCTCTTTATACTGTATTCAAAAGAATGGCATAGAAGCAGTTAACAAAGCATTTAAAAATACTGTAATAATTTAAGAATTAATGTAATGTATTGCTACTCTGACAAATACTGCTTTCAAGGTAAGTTTAGGTAGGCTAGGCCTTTACTTCTACTGTAGTAGCCCAAATGTGCGATCAACATCGTGCGTGTACCGTCAGTGCGTGTTAATTTGTTCCGGTCTCCGTACGGCCTAACTCTCCAAGTCAAGTTGCTATTGTGATATAACTCGGAATAAAATTCAACTTTGCTTTAGTCTAATTTAATCTGTCGAACTATATTTCAGTGGCACTTTAGATTCGACTTAAACGAGTTTAACTGTATTTTTTTTCCACGATTTTGCTTCTTATTGGCAACAGCTTTAAGTTTTTTCTTTGTTAATAAAAGATGTTGTGTTAAGTAGCAGGTCACATTAAAACAGAATTTTTCGGTTTTGTATTGATATTGGTAATACACACTATATACTGTAAGTAATTGTTTTAAAAAGAATGCACCAACTATTTGTGTTTTTGTATAATACTAAAAAATAAACAATGGCCGAGTGGTTATGGCAGTGGCGCTGCAACCTACTTTACAGCCATAATATTGGCGCTGGTTCGAACGGCACGCTCGCCTATAGTTCTGGTGGTAGAACAAGTCTTCTCGAATAAGGACTATAAATCGTAGGCCCAGTGTACACAATGGCCCGTGTGCACTATTAAGAGCCCAGTACGTCAATCAAGACGAGAACAGGGATTCCCCGGTGTACTGGAACAGACAGCCCCTGTGATGGATGACGAAAGTTGCTGGTAACAGGTTACCGGGTAGCACAGACACGGAGGAACCCTAGTGGGCGAAGAAAGTCATTGACAAGTTACTCTTCCACATACCAAGCGCATGAGCATCTTGTTCGATGGATATAAAAATTTACACCATTATTATTACGAACATCTTTATTGTCATCTTCAATCAACAGATCGCTAATCTATTAAACCGAGTGCGCATTTCTTTTTCTTTACATCATCTTGAAACATGCCATTGTTTTCTGACACACTAATGTCTGCATCTTCTTCACTTTAATTTTTTTCCAAGTCCAGCAGTCAGTAATTATTGATCCATTTGATTTATTCATTTCAGCCGACCCCACAGAGAATTCGACCTGAGCATGCCCAGACACTGGAACGATATTCATGGGAAAGTAGTGAAGATACAACTCCAGGTAATAGGAAGCTTTCAGTTATGGAACCGATTCACTCATGCATGACCGTCCCACGTTCTCTGCACAACAGATTTGGCCAAATTGCATCCTAGAATCCACACAACAAGGAGAACTTAACGTTTCCACATGCGAAGATGAAATATTAGTGACGTCATTACGTTCTAGATTCTCTCACATCGTGCTATCAAAAGCTCCCTAAAGTAAACATCCTTGGTGACAAACATAGCTACACTTATCATTGAAATTTAAAATTGAGTTTTTTTGGTATTTTTAGATTCTGTGTGTCTATTTGATGGAAATTGGTTGAGTTATTAGCAAAGTTATGAATATTATTATTAATTCATTCAATATCAGCTATGTAAATTTTAAGAAAACAGCTTCCAAAGACTCCAAAATCAATAGTTTATTATTAAGATTTGTATTTAAAAAAAAAATTATTATGCTTTTCAGTCAGATTTAGTGATTGATATTTTGCAGAAATGCTCTTCAATTAATCTTCTTTTATAAAATGCAAAAAAAAAACTGAAAATGTCTAAAATTCTGATTCTCAAACATTTGGGTGCTTGCGCAAAATTAGAAATGGTGACAAATGGAGGGTTTTGCCAGATCTAGTCACATATGTTATGATAACTGAAATTTCTTTGTCTAATAATACCATTCCTTCAATCTATTTCAGACTGCTTGAGTGAAACAATGTTCTTATTGCTTCAGTCATTAGTTGTAAGTAGCTATATCAAATATAACTTGTTGAAAATAAAATAAGAAAGATACTCTAAAATGTGCATAAGGCTGACCCATGGAAAAGTCTATTCCAGAGTGTTGGGTTACCAGATACCAGGTGTGTTTTCCAACAACTAAGAACAAATCCACTTTGTAAGCCTAGTGATTAGACTTGGGTCATAGGTCATTACATTGTTCCATCTTGTAATTTTGGAGTGTACTTATGGAGAGCTGAGCAGTTGTCTCTTGCTAAAGACCCTTGTTCAGCCCAGCCAGCGTTGGGTTTTAGTCTGCTTGCTGAGCTCTTCGAATAACCCTCACATTAAGACTTAGGCGGGATAAGGAACACTGTGTTTCTGTATGTATCTGTTAAGCCAGGTGGCACTGCATTGTGGCTGTAGTGGGTTCCAAGGAGACCACCCCAAATTTCCAATTTCATGTTGAATGACTACAAATAAAGTATTATTAAATTAAATTAGAAAAAAAAAACCACAATATTTTCTTTCTTTGTAGATGGCATGTCAATCAAGAGACATTGAGGCACTGACTGCCTTACAGCAAGATCTCTGGTAAGACCATCACAAGTTATTTCTTTTATTTCCTTATTTTTATATATTTACTAGTATGACATGTCCTCTACAGATATGTTACTATGGGTCAAGCATATAGTTTATAATTCTAATAGAGATGATGTATTTATGGAGGAGAAAAAAGGAAACCAAAGTTAGATTACCTAAGTACTTTAGTCAAGTCAATTTCTATTTCACTTGTTAACAATATTCATGATGGTACATAATATGAAATAGCAAGACTTCAAAAAGGCTTGATGCAAATGAGGGTGGCGGATAGGATAGGAGTAGAGGTTATCGCCCCAACACCTACTCTCTCCAGCATCAGCCAAAAAAATTTCTCACCAAGTGTAATCTCATTTAGATTATAAGAGATTAAATTGGCTAAAACTTCCAGAGAGCTATGCCTGCCACATAAGTAAGGGACATCCCAAATCTTTCCTCTCTTTGCCGTAGATTCTGCCCTATTCAGACTTATGGACCTCGATTGCCACACTGAATTCGCCACTGGCATGCAAATTAACTTCAACGAAAAACTGAACGATGTTAATCAGATTTTATTGTAGTGCTTTCGATGGTTAAAGAGTCCGTTTTTACAGTTTCAATATTGAATTTTTGTCATGCAATTCCAATTAACATTGTTTATAAAGCATTATTATTATTTTCTTTTTTTCTAGGCCTTTATTATCTTCTACACACATCCATCTTCTTCACCTTATTATCAAGACACTAACCAATCCACCAGTACTGAGTATGGAAGAGACCTAGAAGTGGCTAGCTAGCCGTACTCCATATAGATAACAGAACGTGGAATAGGCTATGCGGTGAATATAGGCACAATCCATTTTAATGCACCAGTGTGACAGTTAGGCCTAGGTATGTCACATGACAAAAATTGGGTGACGTTTTCTTTACATCGGAATTCTGTGGAGATAATAGGAGATATCCAGCCAATGACGTTACCCTTTTCGCAGTTGTTTTTTGAAGAGGTTTTCTTGTTTCAGAAAATTTATTTCCAGTTTCGTTGTTTCCATTCACGCTCATTTGAATGACTCATTCATAGTGGAGGTGCTGGGATATATTCAAAGGAAGGCTACAGCCACTAGAATGATTTTGACCAAGACTATACGTTGGTCAAGAAATAGTAGTATTTTTGGTGTGAATCATATCAGGGGTAACAGCCAACTCCAAGACTTGTTTTGTATGGGGGTCCGTCTAGTGAATTGGCAAGTACGCTGAGAGACAGTCCCCTACTCTTTTCCGAAGAGTGTACTGCATTCTTTCGGAAGAGTACACAGGACATATTGCACCCAGGACCAACGGCTTAAGTACATATCAGAAAGACAGTGTCCTATCGTAACTTCGACTGAAACATAAAGAGAAAAGCAGATGGAATTGAACAGGGGACCAGAAGATCTCCAAGGTTCAGTGCACGTACAGTTGCTACCACCAGTTTAGCTGGCTGAGCTCAGCTACTGGACAAATCGTACCAGTGGTGTTCGCGTTAATTATGCAGTAGGTTTTAAGATTATACGCCTGTACTGTCAGTATAATATTGTACTGTAGATCCTGTGAACGGTGCAGTGATGTGCGTAGTATTAGCATGAACTGAGGTAGAAGTAAACGAGTCATGCTGTTCGCGTTCAACATATCTGCTCGGGAAATAACTGCCTGGTTGTTCTTCCTAAGCAACATTAACTGGGTCTTGCAGGCCGTTCGTCTTCGGTAATTTCACTAAGGAAAACGGTACGCAGGTTTTTTGCACTCGATTTCTTGTGGGGGGGGGTTCAAAGTGATCAGATACTTTATAAGTTTGACTAGTAATCCAATGAAGAGCGAACTAAAAATATTTTTGTTTTTGATTTCTATTTATAAGCTGAAATATATGATCAAAAAATTAATATCAGACAGGTTGTAACATCATGCTAATGTCCGATACGCCTTATTTGGTCATATGGAGCCCCCTCTCTCAGTGAATAAAATGCAATTTTTTGTCTAATGTGTTGGTCATATAAAGCATGGAGTACGTTTGCTGATTGGCTAATTATTTTAAATCCATATTTTTGGTTTTAATGTTGGTTTTTCCAAACAGGAAAAAAATTAATCATATTTGGTATCCCTTGGACTGCACATCTAGTGAGATATCTAGTCTCACATTTCGAATAAATTTCCAAAAAACAGCGGCGCCAGCGGACGGGACAGAGGTGGAAATTGTCGGCTTGGTACTTCACAGAAGAGGATTCCTTCAACAGATGACGAAGCAGCATAATTTTTACAACTTGTATACAGTTCATTTAAAGTAATAATATATAATATAGAGAGAGAAATGTAGGGATAGTGGTGAACAAAATAGACGTCAATACCTGTAAAACCAAAATCCTTATTTCTATTAATATTGATTTATTACTTATAGTTAATACAATATGTGCAATAAGGTTCAATAAAATACAACTTCGGGCCTTTTATATGTGTATGTAGTACATATATGTATTATTCTGTGCAACACTGACACAAAAATATAGAAGTCCGTATTCTATTTCTGGTGGTAGAGCGCCCTCTATGTTGCTTATCAAAACTTTGCGACCATCCAGGGTACGATTTTATGGCATCCAAATAATAAGCTATACCTCAGCCAGTATGCTATAAATAGTTTGATAGCCCAAGGTGAGAAGCGACTTGTTTGGTAAACAGTATGGAAGGGGTGGGTGAAATTCGACCAATGACGGTTCGCGATGAATGAAACTGACGAATGAGAGTGGAGGAGATGTTAGCGATTTTAGACCTATGACATAATTTAAAAGCCGGTAAATTGTGAACTGCCGTGACCCTCATTAAAGGTCAGTAACCAGAATCTAGGGGAACAAAGCATATGTAACTCATATTTCGTATAAAAAAATTGATGTTAAGAAAAATAACACGATAAAAATTCATGACCAAACAGTGGCGTATCTAGGGGGTAGGCGGAGGCGGGTGGGCGTTCTGCTCCAAACATTACTCGCCCCCCCCCCCCTTAAAAAAAATCACGGTAAAGTACAGTAATTGAAAATCACCTAAAATCACCTTATTTTGCGAATTAACGCCCCTCAACTAATCATAGAGCCCTCCCTCCCCACTTCACCTTCGCTTCCCCATTAGCACTTCCATTTCAAGACTTCTAGATACGCCAGTGACCAAATCTTATAACTTTATATATAACATGAATTATATTATGCTACCAATGATAACTAATGTTGCAAAATAATAAATAAAATGGTCAGTAACCGTAATATAGGGGCACAAAGCATAGGCCTATGTGACTCACGTTTCGTAAACAAATTGCTGTTAAAACAAAGATAACATATTGGCATAAATACTGTATGTTGTTTTAAATTAATTTCAATTTTTTTTTTCGAAACCTATCAGTAATTTACTATTTCATTTGTAATATCTTGTTTCGATTGTCCAAAATACGGAAATTATGTTTGGTTTGTAATTATTTCAATACATAAACATAGTAAAATGTATACACACATCGAAAATATAACAAGAAAAAAAAGTAACTAATATAAATACATGGGGAAAAAAACGTGGCCATTGTATATACAGTAAATAAATACAGTTAAAAAAGACAAGTAATAAACATTAATTTAGGTATTTGAGTTGTATCTTATTGCAAAGGGTATAAATGAGTTGAGCATATGGAGGTACGGAAATTAGATACGATTATCAATCAAAGGTAGTATTCACGAAAATATACTCGTTCACCTCAAAGACGGGGTCTTTCAACGAGGTGTTGATATTTCAAACTGTACAAATTTATACATTAAGACATATAGAATAAACAAAATATATACAAAGACCATGTGTTTTATATAATGCAATACAATATACTTTTATACACTAAAATAAATTTAATTGCACATACACAGAAAATGTTTAAAAAATTAAATATTTTAACGTAGTTAATACATGACAAAAGATTTACAATCAAGTCAAAAAAAGCACGAATCAAGAAAGAAATTAAAACCCGAGGTAGTTATTATTATAATTGATATTATTATTATAATTATTAATATATTATTATATATAATAATTATTATTGTTACAAACATAAAGCAAAAACAATTTGAAAACGTAAACCACCTAAAATTAACAATTATTATTATCATTATTATTATCATTTAATATACTAGTTATTATTTACTTGTTAAACATTTAGTTTAAGATTAGATTTTTAAATAGTGAAAGAGATTGT